AAAGCATCTTCTGTGTCCCATCCTGAGCTCCCGGAGATTGCATTCCTGGCCTGAGAACAAGGTCTGTTCCCTTGTGGGCAAACACTGGGTTCATGCCATGATAGACTAAACCCACCAGATGCATTTTAATGTACATTACAGTAAAGACTTCCCTCATTAATACTTTCAGTGTCCTGTAAAACAGAATCACATCTACGGAGGAGGCATGGTAGACTCCTCCTGAGGATGCTCTTCCCTCCCTGGAGGGAAAGGCTGGCTGGCCATCCAGGAAAACTGGCTGAAGGCAAGTAGCTAATTCTGGTACAAAACTCCTGAGAGATGTAGATAGAAGTATTTCTGGGCAAGTGGTAGGAAGCTGAGTGGCCCTCACTGGACCCAGCCAGGGCCCAGTGGGAGGGCAGGGGCAGCAGGGACTCTGTGCTAGCAGATGGAGGGGCCAGATGGTCTCTCTGAGCTCTCCTGCTGCCCTGCCGCTCCGCTGGGCTCCTCCGGTCCCGTGTAAAAACCAGAGTGTGTATGAGTTCTATTTGCTAAATTAAAAACTGGCCTTGGCACTGTGGGGTTGTGTTTCAGCGTGTGCTTTCCCAGTGCGTGGTTATTGCTAGTTCTAACCAGCCCAGCTACTGCATCCTTCCAAGGAGCACAGTGCTCTGCACCTCAACACTGCAGCACTGCAAGACTTTCCTTCCATGGGTTTCTCTATTTAATTGAAAGTGTTGTTTAAATAAAGGAGCTATTTGCATTTTTGTGGTCTCACGGCTCCGCACCCGACCCTCTCATTGACTGTGGTGCAAGCAGGGGGGGCTTCCTTCTTTTTGTGCTGTCTGAAGCTCATCATGAGTGGCTAATGCTACTTTCAATGCTGACATCCCTTGGATGCTGCTGCTGGACAAGTGACCCGAGTCATTAAAAACCTCTTGCATCCCAGAAAGGTGTTTTTTTGGTTTTTTTTTCGAATTCCCACATTAGCTTCAAAGGGCAGCAGGGTGTATACATAGCTGTTTCAATTCTGTGCTTTTAAAATCTGTCCCTCATGCCCTGGTATGATTACTGATGCAGCTGTACCAGTTGCAACATCTCTGCTATGTGGAGACTGCAAATCAAACACAGCCCTGGGTCTCCAAGGGTCTGGATTCAGAGCATGGCAATTGCAAAGCACAAGGGGCTGTTAAGAAGAAGCTGTTGAAAGCAGGCAATGTATTTCAAGGTCTTTCTAGGCAACTGCTGCAAGAATTGCTGGTGTTTAGAAAAAGCACGGGGCAAAAGATTGCCTGTGGAAGGCACATCTGTCAGGAAAGGCTTCGGAGGATGCAGAAGGCAGCAGTGAGTAATGATTTGGCAGCCGTTCTGGAGACAAAAATCTATACGCGGCCATCAAGTGGGAGAAATAGTAGTGTTTAACACTGGAAGCATTTCATCTTCCAAATGCCGTTTCCAGCATTTGTCAGTGAATCCTCCTGACACTCGTGTGAGGGAGGGAATGTCAGCAGCAGCAGCTGAGATGAAGCTTTAGACACACAATATGCCAAAGAAAATGAAAGAAGAGGCTATGTATGGTAACATTTCCTCTGCTTTTTCTCCCTTTTCTCCCCATGGAGCACCAGCTGTTGGTTATCACCAACATGCTGGGAACCTACTAGAACTGTGAAGGGGCTGGGACAGGAGAGGGTTTGGACCTCCCAGCTGGCATGGCTGGACATAGATTACCTGAATCCAGCCCACAGAGAGGCAAAAGCACACTGAGCTGGCACTGGCCACTTGGCTGCATTTGGCAGTTTGTAGCTGAGTTAATCTAAATTGTCTTTACCAAAATATTCCCGTGAGCTTTATGCTGGGAGCTCATGAAGCCTTGGCGTGGTGCTGCCTTCCCTGGGAACAGCTTCTGTACTTATTTGCTCAGATAAAATGTCATTCACAGCAAGGGGTGGGAATAGAAAAATCTCCAAAACTCTAGTGCTGGTGATCAAACTCTTCTGACAGAGCTTAATATAAGACTTGTCTCCCTGCCAGCACCAGCCATCAGCACGCTCAGAGCTGGTGCTGCACTCCTGGTCCAGTGGTTACACACATTTTATGTACCAGCTGTAACTAACATGTGGCTTTCCAGCCCTCAGTCTGACAGAGCACACATGGATGCTGTGTGCTGGTGGGACTCAGCCACCCACATGGGACCAGCTCCAGCAGCATCCCCGTCCCTCCACATTCCTCCAGCTAACTCCCTAACCCTCCTGCAGCAGATGCACCATCCCATCACCCATTGGCTGATCCCTTTCAAGGAACCACAGAACTGGGCAGATGCTTCCCATTGGGAATACTTTCTTCAAAAATCCTTCCCATTGGCTCTGAAAATCCTAAGCTAAACCAAAGACAACGACATGTGTGGACCTTTCCTTTGGTTCGTGGTTCTACAGCACAGAGTGCCAGCAGTAAATGGAGCTGGGAGAGGGGCTGGGACCTGGAAAAAAATGGTGTGTGGGCAGGCTGTGGCCTGAGGAGCAGAAAGAGGCTCCTGGCTTTGCTGGCTGGCAGCTCTCTGAGGGAGCTGATGTCACCGGAGGCATTTTAAGGCTGAGATGATGAAGAGAAAGGTGGGGACTGGCTTGTGCCAGAGCAGGGGAGGCAGAGACCTGGTGTTATTGCTGTTAGTGCTCAGTAGAGCAGCAGTGGGTCCTTGCTGTACAATGCAAAATGCAGTTTTATCATTTAATGCTGTTTAGGGGGTTACTGACAGAGTTGCCAGCCATGCTGGACTGTGAGCTGGTTGGGTGGGTGACAGCCACCTTGCTTTCCTCTGCAGGCCTTCCCTGCTTGCCCTGGGGTGCTCCTGCTCACATCCCTGGCTGGGGGTTTGTCACAGACATCCCACAGGCACTGCCCTGGCAGAGCACAGCCTCTGATGGGCAACTCTCCTCCGGCTCCCAGGTGCTCTTCCCTTTCTAACCTCCCTGCTGCCTCAATCTGCCTCATCTCCCTTCTGCAACTTCTCTCCCAAACCGTTCCCTAAATCTCTCTCATTGACCCTCTTCATCCTGTGCCACCATACCTGCTCCTGTCCCTGCCTCCCACACACTGATGCTCACCTGGCCCTTCCCCCTGGGCTGTGCTGCCCTCACACTCCCTCTCCTAGATGGGCACAGGGAGGGAAGAGATACTGTCCCTCTCAGGCATAGCCCTGGAGACAACTCAGACCTGAGACCTGAAAGCCACCCCTAGATCAGGCTGCCAGGAGTGGACAGTAGAACTTGTGGCCAGCCTGGAAAGACTCCTGTTTTACAAGACCATGGGGTTTTAAGAGAGGCAGGGATCAGCATTGCCTACCTGCCTCCAGGTGAGGTGGGCTCTGAGTGGGACCTCGGAGGCGGTTGTCTCACCCAGACACCAAACAAACTTTTGGAGTGGACTTCTAAGGGTCCTTGCATTCCCCCAGAGGTAACACCCCACCTCTCACATTCCCCTCTGCCTTGGCCCCCAGAGCTCTCAGTGATGGCAAGAGAGCTGCCACATGTATCTCAGCCCTCCCCCTGAGCCCCCAGTTTTGCTGAGCTGGGTGCTGTCTTTGCCCTTTCCACACCTCTCCCCCTGCCCTTCCTTCCACCTTTCCTTGCAATTTTCCTTCCTACTCCATCACTTGGCTCAAATCAGCTCCCTGAGCTCTCCTTTGCCACTACATGGCCAGTATAAACTGTCCCTCTTGCTTGAGATACTGGTAAAGAGGCACCCTGATTTGGAGCCACCAAATCTGGAGCTCTCTCTTGGATGCTCAGGCAGGAGATGGCACAGGTAAGCTACTTGCTTCTGCTCTGCCAAGGAGGCTCAAAGCACTAGCTTGGGCTTCTCAAGGGTGTTTAATGGCCCAAGGAATGATGAAAACCCACAAGACTCCTGCACACCATGCTGCCACCCAAGTACAGGCAGGTTTCCCAAAGCACCTCTTCACATCTCAGTTACTGCAAGGCCAAACTCTGCCACAAGAAGCCTGGGCTAAATATTTTCAGCGTTTCAAGGCTGAAGTTTAGAAAGGGATGCTGCGTGTTTGCAGGAGCATTGCTTGTGCTGAAATCACTTAGGCCGGGAGGTGCTTTGGGAAAGGCCACTGGGAGCCCAGGGTGGCTTCCCTGCCAGGTACCCCTGAGCATGGGCTCCCCAGCAGGACACCATCCCTGGGGCATCCTCACTGCCTACACTTCAGGGGTCCCAGCCCAGTGGCTCCGTGGCCTCCAGCAAAGTGCCTCAGAAATGGGTTACTGCAACCACTAGATATATTTTAACATTACTTTTGAAAAACTTGAGGTAAAACTGCTACCAGTAATGAATGCTTTTAGACAAGACTTAGTAGGTTTTGTTACTGTGTCCCTGTTACTCAGACACCAGCAGAACTCGATATGGCTGTTTAACTTGTTCAAATAGCTGTCTGGAAAAAAGGAGAATATACAAATCCAAGCTATGGTGCCTGCATTCAACACCGACCCCTGCGGCTTTGGGGTCGGAACTGGAGCTGTAAGGTACCCTCAAAATTATCAGGTTTCATCTAGCACTTCCCAAAGGAACAGTGTTCTTTAAAAGCAAGACATAACCAGGAGAATGAGCAATATCCCTTAATTTCAAGGCAAAAAAAAAAGTTTTGGTTCCAAACTACACTGCTCCTGACCAGTAGTTTAAGGCTTTGATTTTTTTCTCTTTTTGAAACTGAAGTATTTTTGTCTTTTGGCAGTTGAAATGCACTTTGTAGGCAATGTGTTAGCTCCCTGCACAGCACTGTGAATTGGAACGGAGGAGTAGAACGAGGCAGCAAGGGAATGAACCAAAAATGAACCAAAATAAAACAAAATGGGGCTGGGGAAAGCAGAACTTGCTGCAAAGTTTTCTGGGATGGGAGGAGGGATTTATGTATTTCTTCCTCATCATCTTCTGAGGAGGAAAAAACAAGAAAAGAGAGGACCTGTCCGCGGGACTGGAGGATACTCCTGGCAGGCGCCAGGAGAGCAGGGGAGGAGAGTGCTTTAGTAGAGTCCACATCCCCGCAGGTTGTTGGCAATGATGACATCCGTGACAGCATCGAAGACGAACTGGATGTTGTTGGTGTCAGTGGCACAGGTGATGTGAGTGTAGATCTCCTTGTTGGGGGACTTGTTCTTGCTCTCGTACTGAGTCTGGATGTATGCCACCGCCTCCGTGAAAGCATTGGGGCCTGTAAGAGAGCCGAGATGAGAGGAAAAAGAGCAGGTTAAAGCAATCCCATAGCCCTAAATCTGCAGGGTGCCTGCAAGTGTCCCATTCCAGGGACATGGGGAGCTCACGTGGGGCTGCTGCAGCCCAGTCGCCCCACCTCCATCTGAGGGATGGGCACTGCTACCAGCCGGGACTGCTGCCAGGCAGGAGATGCTCTCTGACTGTCAGCTCAGCTGTATTTTTATTCTGAGTTGCTGTTTATAGTCTATAGAGATGAAATGGATGAGGGAGCCGAGTGTTAAACAGGCTATGATGGTAAAAGCAGAAGAAATTCCATATCATGGTGACAAAAAAAAGAGAAGAAATCTGCCAGGAATGCAGTAAGTGCTTGACCTGGGGAAAAGGTGTAGCTTTTTTCCTTTTTTAGATTTTTTTGATTAACGTTTCAGTTTTTTGATGGAAAAGAAGACCTAACATATCCACGAATTGAGGGCAGTATTGGTAGCTGTGCCCTCTTTTCCCTGAATCACTAAGAGAAAAGGATATGAAAAGATTCAGCCTCTATTACAGCGACAAGTGGGGCTTTCTCAAAAAAAATACAGAAAGGCAAATACAGAATGTCCCTCTTTTTGAGGAATCAGGATCACAGTACTCTCTGCTAGAGCTGTGGCTAAAATCACACCATGAGGAGTTTCTTGTTTTAATGTATAGAGATGCCTGTGCCAAACCTTATTAACCATCAAGTTTTGTGTCAAAACAAGCTGAGATGGAGTCATGCAGTCGAGCAGATCCTTTCTCCTCTGACTAGCCCTGATCCTGCTCACACAGCTCCACGTGGGCACCAGCTCAGGGCTGATGAAGGTGGATTCTCTGGCTGGCCTGGAGTGCAGCCCCTCAGCACTGCTGGGCAATGCCAGGTGTCTGACCCTCGACCCCTGAAAGGCTCCACAGCAGTAACTCGGCTACTGCTTTTGGGTCCCTCTCTCTCTCCACGATGTTTTACTGATGGGAAATGCTATTAACTGCAAGAGAGAAGCTTACTGGGGCTTGAGATGTGCTGTGGTGGAAGGCAGCTGATCTGGGAAATCACTTATGCATTGCTAGTTGAGACACAAGCTCATGAAGACCACGGGCCTTGAGAACATGCTTGAAATAAGAGAAGCAAACTGTTTTCTGAGGTTCTTGCATGAAGAGCTGTGTAAAGAATCTGGGAACATTTCCACATGCTGTGCACAACCAGGAGGGTATTTTATGAACTGGAAGTTGGTTGTTCAAAGGCATGAGGATTTAGATGCTGGATTCTGTCCAGGAGAGCAAGGAATCACTAATGCCAGCGTGGTTTAAAACATGCCATGGATTCTGCTGCTCCATTGCTAAGTATTGTGGATTAGTTAAAAGCATGAGTGAATTAAAGGGATGGAAATAGTTAGTGCTCCAGCAAACAGCAGGCAAATTTGTGGATGCAGTCTTCTAATAATTCCCTGTCAGAAGAACTAATGGACATCAGAAACTTCATTTCATTAAAAGCATTTTGTGGAACCTATTTGGGATGTTGAAAGTCTGCTTGTTCAGTTTATAGGCTTTCATCAAATAATTTTCTTTAACTCCAGGGCAACATTCTAATAATGCTGCTTTTTCACAAGGCCACAAAGGCTTCATCCTCTGAGCTGTGGTCAGCAAAGCAGGGGTGAGCAGGCTGACATGTGTGTTTGGGTCCAAAGTCTGGGCTGACTGCTGGCTCAAGCTAACTTGTACCAGCACTGCTGAAACCTAAAGGGCGAGATACTTCTCAC